TGCATATAGGTGTTTTCTTCGTGTACTATTAATTGGTATTTGCTGGGTTGCAATGTGTCATCCCGACACAGTAATTAAAATAAACTGAAGTTAAGGCTCCTGGCCTCTCACATTGTCTATCTCTTGTTGATAACGTCAGAAGCGAGAAAATGTGATGCTAAAAATTCTTGTGACACGTTAAAATAAAAATATATATCCATAAAGTAACACTTGCAATCGATTAAACAAATTTCTAAGATATTCCGTGCATTCCTCTTTTGCTCTAATAATCAATAATTTGTCGTAAATTAACGTGACATACAATTTATCTTCTTAATCTATTTCTTCGCCTATTTTTATTCAGGTTAATAGAATTAAATTATTCAGGTTAATAGAAAAAATATGACAATTCTTCCATTTTGCGTTCACAATGAACACTTTATGATCTCTGTCTTTCTTGCGAGATAATCAATCAATATTAGAAGAGGTAATCAAAAGAAATCACGCACTTTCGACGCGATACGTTCATACTTTACTTAAATGAGATCGGAATTTTCACCTCGGTCTCTCTTTTCAAATCTAATCCAATCATCGGTGTATGGTTTTCTCTTCTACAATTCTTCCCAAAAAGCACTCCTACAATTCTTCCTAAAAAGTATTCCTACAATTCTTTCCAAAAAGCACTCCTACAATTCTTCCACTGACAAAGTGACGATATTGCCTTCGAGTCGGCCGTTCCACACCGGCGCACGAGATCGATGTACTTATCGATGTTTTTTTGTCCTGTCAAAAAGGGGCAGGATTTTTCAACACGCGCATGCATCCGCAAATCTCCCCAGATAGCACAGACTTCAAACAGAACGCCTTAAAGACGTCTAAAATGTCTTTAAGACGTTTGAAAATTTTTGCTACATCTGGATCTGTATTAATTATTCGCAACTTTGAGGAACGCGTCTCATGATTCGCGTACCTCTCGAGACCCCGGCGATAATTCGCGCTTTGTCAGCCTCGTCATGCAAACCGAGCTCGCAATAGAGATCGAAAGATTTTTCCAAATGAGCAGTTGCGATATTCGGTCTTCTCTGGAAGATGCAATTTTGCACTATTAACGATCAAGGCCAATACGATTTGACCGTTAACAAGAGGCAAGCTTGTCGAATCCACGTGTATATATTAATCATACATCTACAATGGAATTGTATCTAGGAGCGGTATTCATAATCGGGT